CCCATACCAAAAAACGTGAAAGAACTTAGATACTTCCTAGGAATTATTAATTTCTACCGGCGGTTCATCCCAGGTGCTGCTGAAATCCAAGCACCCTTACATGTATTACTTACCGGAACAGTAAAAGGATCGTACCCAATTGCCATTTCTGGTGACAGCCTTAAGGCTTTTAACAAGTGCAAACAAAGTCTCTGCCAAGCAGCATTACTAGTACACCCAAACCTGCAAGCACGTCTAGCACTAGTTACAGACGCCTCAGACTTAGCTATCGGAGCAGCGTTGCAGCAACGAAAGGAGGGCAGTTGGCAACCTCTTGCATTTTTTTCAAGAAAGCTAAGCCCTGCACAAAAGAAATATTCCCCATATGATCGGGAATATATGAGTCAATAAAATATTTCTGTCATATGTTAGAAGCGAGGCGCTTTACAGTGTACACAGACCACAAATCGTTATGCTTTGCTTTCCATGCAAGAAAAGAGAATTGTACTCCTAGGCAATTTAGACACTTGGATTACATTTCACAATTCACCACGGATATACAGCATATAGCAGGAAAGGACAACGTAGTAGCCGATACACTTTCGCGAGTCGAAGACATAACACAAGGAATTACCTTAACTTTGCTGGCCAAATCACAAGAGTCCAACCCAGAGTTAAAAGAACTGCTCAGAGGTGAAACCTCTTTGGTGCTAAAAAAAATATCAATACCTGGAACAAATAAGTATTTGTATTGCGATGTAAGTACAGAGAAAGTACGACCATACGTACCTAGAGATTTACGACACCGCGTTTACGAAAGCCTGCATGCCTTTAGTCACCCTGGTGCTAATGCAACATCGCGACTAGTGTCATAACGCTACGTTTAGCCGAGCATCCGCAAAGATTGTCGTGAATAGACAAAGACATGTTATGCTTGTCAGCGTGCGAAAATTACAAGACACGTCTCTTCACCAATAGGCACTTTCGTCATCCCACAGACCAGATTAATGCACGTCCATATAGATATAGTTGGACCTCTACCACTATCCCACGGAAAAAGGTACTGCCTCATCGCAATTGACCGGTTCACTCGATGGCCTGAAGCAATACATATTGCGGACATAACAGCTGAAACGGTCGCAAAAGCTTTCTTATCCGGATGGATTGTACGATTTGGATGTCCCATTGAAGTTGTGACTGATAGAGGAAGACAATTCGAAGCAGCAATTTTTAAATATCTAGCAGAAATATCTGGTTTCCAACACAAGCGCACAACAGCCGACCACCCGGCATGTAATGGTATGATAGAGAGATTTCATCGACAATTGAAAGCAGCCATTATATGCCACGGAAATGAATGCTGGACGGAGTCATTCCCGCTAGTCTTATTGGGTACTCGTATACGGTGCGCCGATAAAGAAGACCTCGAAGCAACATCCGCCGAATTATTATATGGCAAAACGCTCAGACTACCCGGGGAAATGTTTAACCCTACAAGGCACTCAGTGCCATATACGGGACAATCACTTTAATGGTACCTAAAGCTCTATGAAATACTAGCAGTGACATCTCATGGTTTTTGAGGGACACGTCGCAAATATAGCAATGATATAACGCAAATAATTGCTTATAGATGTCTTTACTGATCCTATTACTGTCAGTAAACAGTGAAATTTATACCTAAGGTTTGCGTGTGACGTTTGCGTAAATTAAGTAAATAATAAAATACCGTTACATTAAGGTTTTGATCTGGGAAAAAATACGTTATATTTTTTTTATTGTAGGAAAGTGTTTATTTGGCAGAGGTAAGTTAGTTTTTCTATTATTCTATTATATCTATTGATAAATCGTATTTTTATCTATGTTTCACATACAGTACGTTAAGCTTTAGCCTTTCTTTTTACGAATACGTACTAGGGAAGAAGTATATATATATACTTATATCAGATTATGTCGGGCAAACGATTGCGTGATGAAGATATCGAAGATTTCTTACGTATACCATCAGGGAGTGAGGATGACGAAGATTTCTCTGAAGCTAAAAGTGATGAAGACATAGAAAAAATTCAGTCTACCGTCAGTTTTTTCTCTGAATCCCTTACTGATATAGAAAAATCACCCCAGAAACATCTCCGTTTGTCTCCCACTAACGAAAATGCTTATTCATCGAGCGAGCAGCAGATGACAAGCCCTCAACTAACTACTTCAGGTGTGATTTCAACAAGAACTTCAAATGACAAAAGACAATCACGTGAAACGAGACAATCATCGACTTCCGTGAGTATTGCTTTTGCTAACAGAACAAGACTACATGGCCCTACGTCTGTCATCAAAAGGAAGATTCTAGTTCTTTGCGATGATTGTGGCTTTGCTTACGATATTGAAATTTTTACAGGAATGGAGATTGATCCAGAACTAAGGGATTCAAGTGAGCTAGACTTGGGAGCGAGTTCAAATATCGTTGTACGTTTAGCTAGGTGCATACCCAGGAACCAACAATACAGGATTGATTTGATAACTATTACACGTCACCGGAGTTGATTTTATATTTGGCCAAAGAAGGAGTCTTATCGCTGGGGACTGTGAACAAAGGTCATTTGGGAAAGGATGTTCAAATCCCTTCCCTAAAGGATATAAAAAAAGATAAGGTAGAGAGAGATTTTTCTGAGGATTTTTGTAACAGTGATGTGGTATGATAACAAACTCTTTGTCTTATCATCGTCTTTCGTGGGCCAAGAGGCAATACAATCAGTAAAGAGGTACTGCAAAAAACAGAAGAAATATATACGGGTAGATTGTCCCCAAATTGTAAAAAATATATAACCAGCATATGGAATGTGTAGACCTACTGGATTTGTTCCTAGGAAAATACAAAATAAAAATACGGACAAGAAAATGGTATTTGAGGCTATTTTATCATGTACTTGATGTTATTGTAATAAATAGTTAGTTACTGTACAGAAAAATTGGTGAGCAAAAGCAAACACCAACCCTAATAGGGTTGGCGTTTGCTTTTGCTTTGTCTTCCTTGGTAAGTATGTTAACTCCTTTCCAGGAATAAATTGGGTCTCCGTAATAGGACGTACGTCCGGACCGTAGCGACGAGTATAGCACTTGCACTATATTTAGGTTCACTAGGACGCGCCAGGACGACACAGAATAAGATATAATTTTATAACATTTTAGGATACGGAGCGAGTCTGCTGAGCGGTTCCACTTTACTTGACTGGGGATTTCCGTATCCCACCGCTGCCACCAAAATGTTATACGGAGACGGGCTGATTAGTTTAAAAAAAAAAACAATTATTTAAAACACCGATATTTAATTAAAATATAACTGGATTACATATTACAAACTATTTAGGATTTAATTTAGGTCCGTAGACAACCGAGCAAGTTCGAAGATGGAAGCAGACTGCCTTGACTTAACTGCTCCACTGCGATACTCACTGAACCTTAAGGCTAAGTCAACATTATTAAGAAGCAGTGCAGCACTAAGGCTAACCAGTACAGGGTATAACAGAACGTAACAAACGACATATCCGACTTCACAGCGCGTCTCAGAGAATTTGCAATAAAATTACAACCTCAGCCAGCCTCTCGACACAGTAATAAGAGAATATTCATTTTTAAAGATCTCCTAACAGCGACACACGTATTTCTTAAAGAGGATGCCTGTCGAAAAGCCTTGCAAACAGCTTACAGAGGCCCATATAAAGTCTTAGAGTGAGGTAACAAGACATACACAATTTTTATAAAGGGCAAGAAGATAACTGTTACCATAGATAGGTTAAAGCCGGCTTACTTACTCAAAGGCACGACGATTACTGAGCAAACAGCGCCTAAAACGTTATTAACGCGAAAATGCGAAAATTCACCCCCGGATAAAACACCACCAGATAATGTAATAAAATGTACAAAATCAGGAAGGAGGGTAAAATTCCCTGAGTATTATCGCCCGTAACACGGTCTCTGGAGGGGGGTGTTGTAGAGCATATCGAACCAGGAACTTCAACGCGCCGCAGCTAGAGAGCGTACAACTACTCGTCAAACATATGGCACGACCATATGTAAGTCAAGCGGCCACGCCTCAATCGACTTGCGCGTGAGCGGGTTCCCCTCGCCAGTCCACAGCTGCTTCCGACGTAGAACGCACGCCACTCTCGCACTTGTCCGGACTATCGTATTCGCTAATATAATTATTGTAGTCGTGAGGTGCATATCTAGTTGTGTAAATTCTATTGTTTGTGTTAGACTGTCTTTCTAGTGGTGTGTTCACTGTATACACTATCCGCCTTCTTAAATGTTCAGTGTGCTTGCAGGCAATAAACGTTTTGTACATTATATGTGGTGACTTTTATTGAGACTCTTAAAATCCCACAACTCTATTCTACTATATTCTATTCCATTCTATTCTATTCTATTTTATAATTAAAACATCAAGTTATTTTGTCCGCTAAGACGCCTCAAATACTTGAAATACTGTCGTTATCTACCGTTTGCTGACTTAAGTTAACGTCGAAACCAAAAAGTCCACATATCCAAATCAATATGTTGTGGGAAAGGTTTTGAATAAATTATTTTATAGGACAATTTCTTATAACTTTCTACACATTGGCAAAAAACGACCGTACTCCTCTATTACGAAACAATAAATAATGATACGAGCTTGGGGTTCGAGACAATTAAAAACTGCCGATTGAATTACCAAAATTGACACTTTAATTACACAACACTAATTACAATCTAAAACCACACTAATAATAAAACACAATCACTTTATTCGCAGTTATTTCGCTTCGAAGTATTCTCTTGTATCGCCAATTCAATACTGCCTGGTCGTGGTCTATACCGTTCTTATATAGGGCCTCAGACAGTTTCCAGAACCTTCTACTGTAGCGACATCTAGAATGTTCGAGTACATATTGGTCCCGAAATTTCTGGAAGGATCTTGACTCTCCTACTTCTGTTACTCGACACTAGAGGACGCTAGTGTAACTAGTGTTGCCATGTACAAGACATTAATAGTGGCGCGCAACACTGCCCCCCCCTAAGACATGCTCGTCCTGAGCATTATTGGCCCTATAATAACGCGCCAGTCGATCCACATGGACGATCTTAGGAGTACCTCTGGCACCTTTCTGTATCCGGTAGGTTACGTCATTGATCCTTGTCACAATCTGGTACGGTCCGTCCCATTTAGCTTGAAGCTTAGGAGATTTCCCTTTGCTGCGAGCTGGATTGTGTAACCACACTAGTGAACCTTCGTCAAACCCTTTGTTGTGCATTCTGCGGTTCCGCAAGTCATTTGCATAATCGGTTATACTCCTTGGGGCATCAGGTGGTATTCCGGTGATCAGGTCTGCAGGCAGCCATAATTCTCTCCCAAAGTTTGCGAAAACTGGCGTCACTGATGTACTTTCGTGAACAGCGCTTCGATATGACAACAAAAACGGTTGTATGTGCCTGTCCCAGTCTCGTTGCCATTTTTCCACAACTTCTGCCAGGTACCTTTCCAATGTCTGATTAAATCGTTCTACCATTCCATCAGATTGTGGGTGGTAAGAAGTTGTTCGTATTTAATGAGTACCCATGACTCTGCAAGTTTCCTGGAATATTGGAGACTCAAAATTCCTTCCTTGATCGCTGTGAATCTCTAAGGGTACTCCAAAACGACAGAAGACTTCATGAACTAGTTTATCTGCAACTGTTGAAGTTTCTTGATTTGAAATGGCGAAGACTTCTGGCCACTTAGTGAAGTAATCCATCACAACCATGAAATACTTGTAACCACTTTCAGTTTCCGGAAACGGCCCCACAACGTCAATGGCTATCCTCTCCCATGGTGCACCAACATTGTACAATTTCAATGTGCCTCTACTACGAATTTGAGGTCCCTTTACAGCCGCACAACTTGTACATTTGCGGCACCAGTCCTCAACATCGTCACGACAGTGGACCCAGTAAAACCGTTCTCGGATCTTCAGTAGAGTTCGTTTAACTCCCAGGTGGCCTACTGAACAACCACTATGGTACAGCTGTAGAACATCCGGTACTTTAGCCTTAGGGACAACTATTTGCAAATGACATCTGTCTCCCCGACCATTTTCCAATTTACGGCACAGGACTCCATCATGAATCAGCAGGCTGTCCCATTGGACCCAATAGTTTTTCGTGGTCGAACTCATTGCTGAGACGTCGCTCCACTTGGGCTTAGGAGCACTGGCCTTCATCCACTCCAGAATCGGCTTAAGGTCCGAATCTTCCTGCTGTGCATGTTGTAGGCTGTCCTTCCACTCATTGCTGAGCTGGTCGGTCTTGAGCATCCTCACAGATACCACTTCCTTACCCTCTTGCCTAGTACAATGCTTGCAATCTTCAGGGCAAGGTCTTCTTGACAATGCATCTGCATTGCCATGAGATTTACCGCTGCGATGTTCAATCACAAAGTCGTATTCCTACAGTAGTTCAATGCATCTCGCAACTTGTCCTTCCGGATTTTTGAACTTCAATAGCCATTTCAGTGCAGCATGGTCAGTTCGTAAGTGGAATTTCCACCCCAGAAGATATTTGCTAAAATGCTGCAAGGACTTTACCACCGCAAGCAATTCCCGTCTTGTGACACAATAGTTCCTTTCCGGCTTTGACAACGACTTGCTGAAGTACGCTATCACAATATCTTGATCACCATTCCGTTGAGACAACACACCGCCAAGTCCTATATCACTTGCGTCTGTGTCAACTATGAATTCCTTGCCCGCATCATGGTACCCTAAAATAGATGTTTTACACAGACGGTTCTTGAGCTCCTGGAATGCAATATCGCAACTTTCATCCCAGCAGAAATGTCGCTTCTCCTCGGTTAGCTTGTGCAGAGGTTTGGCTATATCTGCAAAGTTCTTCAAAAATCGCCGATAATAAGAGCACAAACCCAACAATGCTCTAACCTGTGTCTTATCTTTTGGAACCGGCTAATCCTTGACAGCGGCAATTTTCTCTAGATCCGTGCGGATACCTTCTTCCGACACTACATACCTCAAAAAGCTAAATTGCCGTTTGAATAGTGAGCATTTCTTCGCACTCAACTTGAGGATGGCACTCTGGATCTTCATGAACACGCGTTCTAGGTTTTGAAGGTGTTCCTCAAACATACGGCCTATGATGATGATGTCATCCAAGTAAACCAGAAATGCATCTCCAATTAGCCCGGTAAGTACAAGCTCCATCAATCTTTCAAACGTTGCTGGAGCATTGCATAATCCAAACGGCATGACTTTAAATTGCCACAGACCCTTTCTTGTGGAGAATGCAGTTTTCTCCTTGTCCTTAGGGTCAATTTCAACCTGCCAGTAGCCACTTTTCAGGTCCAGCGTACTAAACCATTTTACGCCCGTGTCATAAATTCTTGGCAAGGGATAGCTGTCCTTCTTCGTAACGTCGTTCAAGCGGCGGTAGTCAACACAAAACCACATGCTGCCGTCCTTCTTCTTTACCAGCACCACAGGTGAACACCATGGACTAGATGAAGGTTCAATAACACCATCCTTCACCATTCCCTCAATCATGGTTTCCTTTTCCTTTTCACATGCTACAGGCAATCTTCTTGGCCGCTGACAAATAGGCAATTTTGTCCTGTGTTTATTTTGTGTTAACCTAAGCCAATCTTTCCTATGTCAGCTTCGTTTGATGAGAAAACATTGGCGTACTTGAGTAACAACTTCTTCGCCTTGACCATTTTATTCGGGGAGAGAACGCTGCGACAGTCTTCTAAAAGTGCGGTCACTCTCGTTTGTCCATCCTTGCTGAGGGTCCCAGTCGATAGATATTGGCACCGACGCAACCAATCCACTTCCTCACTAGTACCAACCAATGTGCCTTTTTCTATAATCTGTTCCTGATAACAAAGGTTCAACACACGTACTCCTGAGATGTCGGTGGTTCTGACCAAGGTTCGAGCCACTTTCCATGGAAGTTCATTGTCTACCCTTTCCACGAGTACACAACGATGAGCTTGCCGGGGATTCCGAGGAAGACTAACCGGCACAATCGTTTCCGATCTCGGCGGAAGAACAATCTTCTTAAGGCTGTACACATTCCCTGGTAACGCCCCTTCCACGAAAAGTTCCGCTTGTCCACATTTCAAAACACCTTGCTTAATGTCGATCTCACAACAATTCTTTCTCATAAAGTCTAGGCCCAGGATGCAGTCGTCCATTATATCAGCCACGATGACATTATGCAGGTAAATCATGTTGCCTAGCTTCAACTCCATCTCCTTCTCTCCACGGACGGGTATGCGCTGACCAGTGGCTGTCACTAAATTAATGCGTTCTCGGTTGTATGCGGAGTCCCCAAGGAACTGACTTATAAGTTGGGAACTCACAACCGTGCGAGAGGCAGTTTACACGGCGTTCCGTTGACCTAGCCCTTGATGACTAGGCTGTTCCCATCATGGGTTTGTGAGATCGAAATCCTTGGGGCTCTTTTAACATCAGCCAGCACCCGCCAGTTTCCTTGCTGCTGCTGGGCGGTGCTGTTGCAGTGAGATCGACCACCTTCCCTTTCTGCAGTTCGCTTAGGGCAGCTGGATCGGAGATGGCCCCTTTTTCCACAGCCGTAGCACCTAGGGCTGTATCCTTTATTGCAGTTATTTTAATTAAGTAACTGTCCAATAATAAAAACACAGGTTGCGCAATTACTCAAAACCTATTTAAGACACAGCTTGAAAGCGGAAAACCTCAATCCCGGGATTATTAACAATATACATAGACATTTACATCTATACTCGATATATAATTAAAATGCAGATCCGTTATCACCCCTGAGAACTAAGATGGAATTCCTCGTTTCCACTAAAAAGGGTCTCTAGTTCTTTGCATGTTCTCTCTATACTCACCATGTTATGAAACCTAACAGCATTGAACTATCCTTTATTGCGGTCGCGAACTGTAGCTGCTGCAACCTCCCTGACGCGATGGGAACGATGATCCTGCCGCACGGCTTTCACCTCCAGTGCATGGGTCAAGGCATCCTTAAGCGTCTCGTGATGCCCGAGCCTCACAGCAGCTCTGACTTCAAGGTCGCAGATGCCGTCGATGAATGTCTGCACCAGGTTCCCTATAATGAGCGCAGGTACAGACTGGTATGCTTTTCGAACCAGCTTCTCCACCTCAAGAGCCCATTGCTGCAGGTTTTCGTTCCTGCGTTGCACGCGATCTTTGCGCTGCGCACGAAAGACGTGTTCCAGGTGAGCGTTGCCATATCGCGCCCCCAATGCCTCAAGGAGCTGCTCGTAAGTCACTTCCTTACCGAGAGCTTCCAGAACAGTTAAGGCCTGGTCACGCAGGCCTAGGGTGAGAGCAGTCATGGATTAACTTTTATTCCAGCTGTTCGTCTTCACGACAGCCTCGAATAGGATTTTATATGCCGACCAGGAAGAAGTCCCGTCGAACGGCGGCACTTTGTATCCGCGTAGCGAAGGTGTTGTAGCTATCACGGGAGCTGTAACTCCATCCCCAAGTTTGAGGTCGCCCAGCGTTTTCTTCACGTCAGCCAGCACGTTGTCAACCCGATTGTACACGTGGTCGATTCGGGTTTTAGCTTCCGACAGGCGGTTGTCATGTTGAGCAACCCTATCCTTCACCTCCCTTATCTCTTTCCCGAAAGTAGCGTGAAGGTCCTTCCTGAGGAGCATCTGCTCTTCCATACCGCGCTGCAGCTGCTCTTCCAACCGACGGGCCTGTTCTTGCTGTCGGCGGGCTTGCCCCTGCAGCATCATCATCAGAGCACCTAAGTTAGGTGCTGCAAATGCAGGAGCTGCTGACGGGCCAGCCTCCGTGGTCGGCAGCTGGCCCTCCGACGTCTGCGACGTTGCACCACCAAATCGTCTCTGGTCCGTCTCCAGCTGGCGTTGGTTTCGGGTACGGATACCCTCCTTGTCATCCTTTGGTAAAATCGGCATAATTTGATCCCACTTCTGACACCAATTGTTACGAGCTTGGGGTTCGAGACACTTTAAAAACTGCCGATTGAATTACCAAAATTAACACTTTAATTACACAACACTAATTACAATCTAAAACCACACTAATAATAAAACAATCACTTTAGTTTGCAGTTATTTCGCTTCGAAGTATTCTCTTGTATCGCCAATTCAATACTGCCTGGTCGTGGTCTATACCGTCCTTATATAGGGCCTCAGATAGTTTCCAGAACCTTCTACTGTAGCGACATCTAGAATGTTCGAGTACATATCGGTCCCGAAATTTCTGGAAGGATCTTGTTCCTCCTAGTTCTGCTACTCGAAACAAGAGGGCGTTAGTGTAACTAGTGTTGCCATGTACAAGACATTAATATTGGCGCGCAAGAATAATATTAGAATGGCAAACAAGCAAGTAGTCTGGTAGTAAGCGGCTACTGTACCCCACGAACACCTGTTACAGATAGGATACAGTGTCAAAACTTTAAACAAAAAAGACTACAGATGCCTTGCCTCTCTTTACCCCGTCTATCTTAATAGACGTAAAAGTATGTAAAAAATAAG